AGATAAAATAAAACTTACCATGACACTTAACTGCGAATCGACTGACAATACGAACAGGCTCACTGTCCCTCGGAAGACTGTCCTGTAAAATAACATTCAGTTTAGGTTCATCTGCATTCGCAAGGAAATAGGCAATTGTTTCACCGATAGCCTCATAGTCCAATGCCAGCTCACTACTCTCATATAGGATAGCGATATTCTTCCAACTCTTTTGTCGTAAGAAATTTTTTGGCGATTTGTAGAGTTCTTCGCTGGGAATGCCAAGGGTCACAGATGCCAAATTATCAAGCAGATCTGTATTATTTCTTTTCGGAGGAATATTAGAATAGAATCTGACAAAATCGTCAGCCACACATGCATAATTAATTTGCCGGAGACTGGCGAAAGCCGCCCGCACCAGTTTACTTTGAGCCACCAGTCACTGATGAGTGCACATCCGCTGCCTGATAGTGGTCCAATGATGACAGTGTAACCTTTGAACGCTTCACTTTCGGACGCAGCTAGTTACAAAACTCGGAAAACCTCTTCCATTCGGTGTTTCTTCGTCAAAAAACAACCCAGAATTAACTTTACCAATACTTGAACATCACCTTCTTTGATGAGACCCTCGGTGTTCTTTCCGCTGTATTTGATTGCAGCCAGCATGGAACGAAAAAATCAAATACCTGCGTTTGCAATAAACAGATTCTACTGGGTTGAAGGAACATCAGGCGAAGTCTTGGAGCCCGAGCAGGTGTAATGGCACATTCAGACTGAATAAGTAGTAAAAGTAAGAAGGAAACTATCACAATCGACTTCATCATCATGACTTCTTAGAAGCATCTGCGAGTTTAATTACTTATGCGTAACTTAGGTAAGATGCCGTTGGTCGCACGTACATGAAAGGCATTGGTTGGCGATGTCTGACCTATCCGAACTGTGTAAAAAGGACTTCAATTTCTTCTGTCCTCAAGAACCACGTGTCCCCTAGCATTGTGAAAGTAGTCAGTTGATCATTCTCTGGAGTTCATATATCAAAATCTACAAAAGAATCGTCGGTTGCCTGTTGGGGTGTCAAAACCCTCGTTGCCGCTTCATTCAGCAAAAGGGCCATCTGCACAACATGTGCCTGGACTTTCAGCCAGTGTCTCTGTTGCGAGTACCCTATAAAATGTTTGGTTTAAGAAACATATCCTATTTATCTGCTCCTAAAGTGGCAATAACGTGGTTGTTTCACATTGGTTGATGGTCAGATGTTGTTAAAATTTTGTGATATGACCCTAAAAATAAACTTCGCTGCCAAGTTAACCAATGCAATGCAATTATTAATTTCTGAAGCCATTCCCGTGAGAACACCCTTATGATGATATCTGTATTTTAATGGAAACGAAAAAACCCAGTACAAATATAATAAACCTTGAACAATGTGATACAGCAAATATGTTATGGATAAAACAAAGCACTCGGTGGTAACGCATAAAATACTGCACATTTATATATTGGCATGTGGAATAGCAGGAAAATTATTTTGTTTCGTTAAATTGCACTATTTTTTAAACCTTTTCCACTACTAACCCTACGGACAGAAAAAAAAGATTCTTGAATTTGTGAAGATTATATCGAAAAACCGCTTTGATCGGCTTTAAACGAACGTTTCCACCCCGGACGCCGGTCATAGACGATACTAACACTAGATATTACCTGGATAAAATAGTTGGTGCCAAATTAACTCAGGTAAGTTTTAAGTTGAAAATAGCAGAAAGTATTTGCCTCATCAAAAAACATTAACGGTACAGAATGCCATCTGAGATTAATTATAAATTGAGCAATGGTAAACTTGCTTTCTGTTTTTTAATCCTCTGCCCACGAAATCCTTAAAAAGCTTTCCTCGCGCCGTTGGGAATTATATGAGGGACGATATTGATTGGCAATTTTGGTCGATTCGACGATATACGCAAATACTTGCATTCCTGTCCTTCAATAAGATTGTCAGAACACGCTTACGGTTTATCTTTGATTAACTTTGAAATCTTTAATAACCTGTTTTAACGACGACCCAATAATGGTTAGTGTGCACATTCTGACTTCTTTCTTACAAACATTTACTGAACTATGGAGGAAAGATCTTAAAAACAAAGAAACTATAAACGCAAAGAAATTCCATCGACATATTTTCTAGTTGCGATTGACAATAGTTAGAATGTCTGCCGACAGGGATCTTAGGATTTTATTTCTGTTTCTGGATACGGAAAAAGGTACACTGCTATTACAGAAAACCTTTCGATAAATGACTGGAGAGGTATATATTTTCGTATGCAAGGGCTATATGTTACTTAGCTAACCTAACCGTCATATTCTGGAAGTTACAATAAGGCTACATGCATGAGATATGGTTCCTTTTCCCATTCCATACTTGTTTTCTTAAAATACTTTTGCACTCTGTGGGACTGGAACAGATAACTTACATACTGCATGTGGTTTGGTTCCTTCTTCCAGGCCTTAATTGTTTTGTTTAAAAATGTTTACCCTCATTATAATTTGGCAGATGTCTTAAGTACTGTAAAGGTCATTGTTTACAAGAAAAGTTACATATGAGTAGACAGCCGACTCGGAAGGTTTTTAACATTTTAACTTCAGAGTGCCAGAAAAATAAACAACTTCAGAACTGAATGCCAATCAGTTTTGTTCCTCGTACTTACAAAGCCACGCCCATTTTGAATCGATATCAGCAGCACACATAATATGTCTATGTTTATCGGCAAAAATAGCAATACACCGTTCAGTAGGCGATACCGCCTTACTCGACCAACGAAAAGTAACTTGTTTCGGGATTTATTTAAAATCACTTGCTATAAACAACCCTATCCCTTTTATACGGAACTGCTGTACGTAAGAAATGTACTGGGCACTTTATAGCGTCAAATTTCATCATTTTAGTCATGCGAAGGACTATTTAACTACATCTTAATAAACTGTGCGAATTTACTTATAGCTTTAGTCTAAAGCAATCAACCGAACTGCATTATTAAGCAGGTATTATTACACTGCATGCATATATCTTTATGTGTGTGTGTGTTTCAGACGAAAAATACGTATGTTCACTAATTTATCTTCTGACATTTTCAATGCGAATTTTCGCAAAGTTAAAATGCATTTCTGTTTAATAGTTGACTGAATATTAACACCAGCACTGCAAGCGCTTAAATGTGGCATTAAACGGTAAATTCATTTAAATTAATGAACTTGCACTTTACTTTGTAGTTTGAACTGCATGATCCGGAACAATGGCAGTAGAAGCTTGGTACAATCTAGGGATTTCGGTTCAAAAGATATTTTGTGTTTACGGTAAATAAGAGGGTTATTTTGATCAAACAGTCAAAAAGGGATAAAAGGAAAGGAATTATATGAAAGGTGAAATATCAAAATTTTTGATAGGCTACCTAGTATGCATCTATTTTTAGACACTATTAGATTAAGTAATTGCGACATGAATACACAAAAAATGTTATTTTTCATTTAAGGCAGCTACAGATGACCGAAAATCCTTTTGAAAATCGTGACCAATGAAAACAAAAGAGCAGACAATATCTGAAACATAGAAAGCGTTTAGTGTATTGGACAATTATTAATAATCACTTGCGCGAAAAACTGAAGTGCATATGAAAGAATAAAACCATGTGGTTTGAAGAGGAGAGTATGAGATTAACTGTCTCATGCATTTGCTATTTCTGAAAAAAAACTGCATGGATTTTTTACGACATTTCATATTTGCGTTGGGTCAATACTCACAAGCATTGAGAACCTGTCAGGACTTTGATTTTAAGCGAAGGCATTGAGCATTCCTAAAATTTTCGTTAGCCAGTTGTAATTAAATGCTTAAATCCGGCGTGTCATATCACTTAATGTCCTATTTTTATTTGTGTTTGTTTACCGAAGAAAATGGTAGTCGCACTCAAGCGTCTTCACTTCGATTTCCTAGAAATATTCAGTATTACAAATTA